CAACATCAAATGGCAGAAGAAAGACCATTCGCTGCAGAAGTTGTCGTAAATCAAACACATTTCCTAACTATCTCCAAGCTGAAGACCTCAACTTACTTTGATGGCCGCGACTTCTATACTTGGGGATTCGAGTTCAAACTCCTCGCGCGATCTTCTGGTATCTGATGATATTTCGACGGTACAATCTGTTATCCAGAGACAGGAACGACCGAAGATCAAGCGCTTTATTACAAGTATTCGCTTATGGCCTATACACTACTGGTGCGGAATCTCTCACCTGAAGAGCAGTTGGGAGTTCGGTGCTTCAAACCTTCACTTGCTCTAGCCTTCTATGCCTGGGACTACCTACGAAAGTTATATCACGCACAAGATTTTGACACACAGAGCAAGCTGTTAAGTCAACTTACAGCAATGCAAATGCTTCTGAGAGAAAAAGCCGGCAGCTACATCAATAGGTGCAGAACACTTGGGGATCAGCTCAGCAAGTGCGGAGGAAACCTCAGCAATGAGCTCTTCATCACTATCCTTCTGGCTGGACTTGGACCCGAATGGAGGCAGTGCAAGTCCCTTCTTCGTTCCCAAGGGAACATCTCATAAACTACTCTTTGCGTTGCTCAGATGGCAGAGCAGCAAGACTTGGACATGTACTACACAAAAGGAGGCAAAGCTAAGAGTGAGTTAAGCTTCTATACAGGTGGATCAAGTGAAGAGGAGTAGATAAGAGGTGCATCAAACTAATGGGAGTAGACAAGAAAAGGAGGAATGGGCTTCTGCAAGTTTTGCAAACGAGCAGGTCATTATATTGAAGAGTGTCAGAAACTGAAGAACAGGAATCGGCAGAAGTCGGGTGAAGCCGCCCCTGTCAAGACTATCTCGTCGCCTTCAGCTACTTCAACTCAACCTGCAAAAGGCAAAGCAATTATTAGTTGCAAAATTGGACCACACAGGTCTAATGGTATAAGCTACTGGAGTGACATGGAAGAAGGAGCAGCCAGCCCACCTCCATGTCTTCGTCCTCGTTAAGAAACTCCAGAACGAGCAGTCATTAACGAAGAAGAACCAGAGCAGCCAAACGGGTTTCCTCGGTGGTTAAACGTGCAGCTGTACGCCCATATCGCCAAACGTACGTATCTCGAGCACGTTAACACTTGGTTTCTTCACAGCTGCTGCGGTCACCACATGGCATCCTCAAGTCAATATCTTCTCAAATGGCGAGACCTTTCACAAGGAGAGAAGAACAATATCACAGTTGCTAATAATCAGGTTATTGAAGCAACCAGAATTGGAGATGTGATACTCGAGTCTGACGACAGAGAAGTTTCACTACACCTGAATAAGGCTCTTGTCGTCACGGGACATGGCTTCAACCTTCTATCACAAGCGCAGCTGATGAAAAGCGGCATCTGTTTCATCAGCACTGCCAACACGATGCTCACGGAGTTGTACCTGGGCAACAAGAAGGAAGACAAAAGTAATTTAGTCGGCATCGCAGAAATTAAAGATGGTGTTTCCGTTCTACGGTTTTCACCTGTCAAGGCATCTGGCGACAGTGAGAAGAACGTCTCACTTGCTCCTTGGCATCATCACTGGGAAACGGATCTCCAACGCCAAGACCATCGTGGTCTCAATGTCTTCTGCACCACGCCTCAGCCTTCTCGCACCAACTCCCTCGACGAACCTGCAGCAGAGCCAACAGAAGCAGCATCAGCAGCAACAGAATCAGTTCAAAGTACATGGGCATCTGGAGATGGAAATTGGGGTTACGACAATTAAGAACCGACATCTGCTACAGTCGAAGAACCTATGGAGGTTGAACGCACATGGGGCAAGAAAGAGTTAATCATACCTGTTTCTTGGGCGCGTCGCCGACATCTCGGCATACCTTGGGCTGAAACTGCAGAAGAAGCCGAGTTTATCCAGCCTTTTGGCACTGACCGCTGCGTTAATCCTGCGCCAACGATTCATCTTTCGCCGGCCTTTTTCCTTCACTACGACTTGTACCTGCATTCAAAGGGACACAAGACTACAGTAGAAATCTGGCACAAGCGGTTAGATTATATCTCACAAGGAGCTCTTAACAATTCCATTAAAGCCTCGGTTTTCGACAAGGACGCACTCCTTTTAACCAACGGCCAAGAGTTTCGACCTAACTGTCGTCAACTACCCTGCACCATCTACCCCCGAGCTCATCTAAGTCGCGCTCTGTTCCCGTCGCACTTTCCAAGTGCTACTACTATAAGTACTCACCTATGGACGTCGTCTTCAGCGACATATTCTTCATGTCGTAGGAAGCAGAAGATATCTGCGGCAACGACTACCGCTATATCATTAACTTTATCGACGGTGCTTCTCGATACGTCTGGCACAAGAATATCTCTTACAAGTCTGAATCTCTCGACGCCTTCAAGCTATGGCTGAAAATCGTAGTGCGGCAGAGCGGCATCAAGTTGTAAGAGATCCAGGTAGACAACGCGGTCGAGTACACCAGCGAGCATTTCGATGAATTCCTGGCACATAAAGGGATACTCAGGTGCAAGACTATGCCTTACGCTCATAATCAGAATGGAGTAGCTAAGAGAACTAACAGGACGTTGCAAGAGAAGATGCGCATGCTGCTGCAACAGGCCAGCTTGACAGCAGATTTTTTGCCGTTTGCGATGGCGCAAGTTGTCCACCTACACAACTGCCTGTCTTCAACAGCTCTTCCCCAGTTCAGCTCCCCACATGTCATGTAGACAAAACACCCCGCCAACACTCGATTACGACGAGTTTGGGGCTGCATCGTCCAACACAGACCTCCGAGCACAACTGTGGGCAGATTTACTCAACGAGCTCGATGGGGAATACAGTATACTGTACCTCGGTGTACCTAAAGATTCCTACTCCTGGATAACTATGGATTACGATACGTGAAAGGTTTTGTATGCCCGAGATTGCATCTTTTACGAGAAACCTCTTCTCGATGACTTTGAATACGACAAGGAACGCCAGCAGCGGGATCCTGATCGCTACAGTGCTAAACGGAGTTTCGCCACTCCTCAAGACGAAGTAGATGCAGCCGAAGAATATTATCCACCCAACAGCGCAACTACAGGACCTTCTACAAATCCGCAGTAGTCTACGTTAGCAGCCAAACCACCACTATTCGACTCCTACATTCCTTCGACACGTGCCAACAACACAGAAACCCTGCTATTCATTCCCCTCTCGGACCCGTTGTTTCATGCCACAACACAGGCTGCCTATAATTATGAGGAGCACCTGTGCCGATAGAAAACCGACGCAGCATCACACGACGGTGCCTGCCATCTGCCATCCGAAATTGACGATGATGACGTCGTAGAAGTTTGCCAACCTCATCCTCGTGGTGACCAATCGGCTCTTCAGATCCTCGGACTTGCTGTCGCAGTTCAGCAACCAACGGCCGGGATCGAGCCAAAAATAGTCAAGTCAGCCCTCTCCGGCCCTAATGCTAACAAGTGGCAAGCAACTATGGATGCAGAGGTAGCAGCTCTCGAGAAGCGGAAAACGTGGAAACTCGTTACACGCGAAGCAGTACACGGCAAGAAAATTCTTTTAGGCAAGTGGGTCTTCGCATAAAGACAAATGCAGCAGGCGAACCAAACAGATTCAAGGGGAGATGGGTCGTTTGAGGTTTCGAACAAACCCACGTCATCGATTACGACCAGACTTACACTCCGGTCAGCCATCATACATCAGTGCGAATTCTTCTCGCCATTGCTGCCAACCGCCACCTTCCACTTCGTCAACTGGACGTTAAAAAAGTGTTTATATACGCAGACATCGAGGCATATATTTTCTTCGAACTCCCTCATACTTACGGCGATAGACTTCACATCTACAAATTGCTGAAGTCCCTCTACAACATCAAACAAGCTCCTCGTTTATGGCAGCAGCATTTTCACAAGGTCCTAATTTCCCTCGACTTCGTGCAGTTGCCCCACGATCCTGGGATGTACTGACTCGAATTTTGGGAACATTACATTCTTCTAGTCGCCTACGTGGACGACTTACTGTACACCGATTCGTGCAACAGTCTTTTGGCGCGCATGGAGAAAAGAATCCAAATGATTCTTGAACTGACTATTTCTCCAAACATCACCCAATTTCTTGGGTTAAACGTCGATTGCGGTCCCGATGCCATCTATCTTTCTGCAAGCAAGTACGCAGAAACACTCGCGAAGAAGTTTGCCATCGCTCCAATCGGCCTCACCACTCCATTTCGTAATATTCTAGCCGCTCACACACCCAATACTACCCCACTTTCCGCCTTCGAGCCTCAGCTTTACCAGCAGCAGCTCAGGTGTCTTCTATTTGCAGCCGTTACATGCCGCCCAGATCTTGCCTACATCACGAGTCAGTTCGCACAGTACCTGCGTCAACCTAAAGGGGAAAATATGGCCGATCTTCGTCCAGCCCTCCAATATTTCATTTCTACTCCTACAATCGGTCTCAGCTACACGACAAATACTGCAACAAATTTTCGTCGCAGCAAGCTCTGCAGTTCGCAAAGGACTCTATCTTCAAGAGTTGCTTCAAGAGGCAAAAATCGCAACGACACGTAACTTCAAGTTACGCTGCAACAACCAGAGCGCAAGCCATCACGCCGACACGTGCGGTCAAGAAAGGCACGGAATTGTACGCCGTCCATCTAAAGGAATCAACGAACGACGATCAACCGGCCGACATTGATAAGCTCTGCGCACCGGTCCCCGAAGATCTGGCAAAACTGATTCGTCGGTTCCCTATATTTTTCGGACGACCTGCCACCTGGCCTACCACCAGAATGCCCTCAGGACCATCGGATCGAACTCGAACCTGGTGCGCAACCAACTATCTTGACACAGTGGCGGCTGACGCAACCCGAGTTCCTGGAATTACAGGACCAGCTGGACTATTTTCTGGCCAAAGGTTTCGTTTGACCGAGCACGTCCCCGTTCGCAGCCCCGATCCTGTTCACACCCTACAAGGATGGGGGCCTCCGAATGTGCATTGATTATCGCGCCCTGAATCGGGTTACGATAAAATCTCGCTACCCAATCCCGCGTGTGGACGAACGGATTGACCAGCTGCGAGGCGCTCACCATTTCTCGAAGATCGACCTTCGCGGCGGATACCATCAGATTCGAGTCTTCGCCGACGATTGCCACAAGACCGTGTTTTGTACTCGCTACGGGAGTTACAAATACACGGTCATGCCGTTTGGGTTAACGAATGCCCCCTCGACGTTCCAGCTGACGATGAACGAGGTATTCCGGGATCTACTCGATAAATGTGTGATCATTTACCTGGATGACATCCTGATTTACAGCACGACATGGGAGCAGCACTTAAAGGACCTGGAAGCGGTTTTCAGCGCCTGCAGGAAAATCGTCTCATCATCAAAGCCTCTGAGGGCGAGTTTTAAAAACCCGAACTGGAGTTTTTGGGGCACATTATTTCGACGGAAGGCATGAAAATTGACCCCCACAAAATTCGGGCAATTCAGGAATGGAAGCCGTCGACCAAACTCTAGGAGCTGCAATCGATTTTGGGGTTCCTCAATTATGTGTGTCGGTTTATCCCCAACATGGCGGGGTTAACTAGAGCACTAACTAACCTACTTCACAAGGGAGCTGATTATCAGTGGGGGGAGAAGTAGGAAACTGCGTTTGAATGATTAAAAAATGTATTAATATCGCCACCAGTACTTCGGATTGCTGACCCTGAATGACCATTCGAGGTCGTGACAGACGCAAGTGACATCGCAATCGAAGCAGTTCACCTACAGGATTTTGGCAACGGCCTTCAGCCAATCGCGTACGAGTTGCGAAAGTTACAGTCGGCCGAGCAATATTATCCCGTACACGACAAAGAAATGTTGGCGATCGTGCAGGCGTTCAAAATCTGGCGATGCTACCTGACGGGAGCCGACGTGACTGTACGAACATTTCACAAATCCCTACATTACCTGCGAGCGCAACCGAATCTCAACACGCGGCAAATTCGCTAGTTGGATTATTTGGTGTCGAACTTCACGTATCGAATTACGTACAAGAAGGGTGCCAACAACATTGCGGATGCCCTCTCCAGACCATCTGCCCAAACCGCCGAGGTACTAATCGCTCAGACAAACCCGTTGTTGAGTGGACTATTTACCCACTGATATTCGACCGATCCCTTTTTCGTAAACAACTGCCACTAGCAGGTCACGACCGCTCAGGAAGCCTATCACGTAAAAGCGGGAACGGAACGAATATGGGTTTCAAGTTATCGACTACTTCGCGAACTACTAATTCAAGAAGCTCACGATTCAAACTTATAAGGACATTTCGGGGTTGACACTTTAGCAGTGTTATTACTAGCCTGACATGATTTCGGATGTGCAAAATAACGTGGGCTCGTGTTCGACCTGCCAGACGATGAAATCATTACGCCATCGGTCAGCAGGACTGTTACAGCCCCTCGAGCCACCCCAGCGACCTTGGCAACACATGACAATGGATTTTGTCACTGGCCTGCCGACCGGACCAAGTGGAAACGATGCGGTCCTTGTCGTCGTCGACCGCCTCACGAAAATGGCTCACTTCGCACCATGTCGCACGATGATCACAGCCGAAGAAACCGCGCGTCTGTTCATCTCGGCCGTCTTTTGCCAGCATGGTATCCCTGTGGCGATCATCAGCGACAGAGATCCGAAATTCACCTCGCGTTTTTGGCAAGACACGTGGAACAGATGCAGCACCCGCCTACAGTTCTCATCCGCCCATCATCCGCAAACCGACGGTCAGACAGAACGGACGAATCAGACCATGGAGCAGCTGATTCGCACGAAGTGCCCGGACATCAGCAAATGGGAAGATTCGCTACCCATGGTCGAGTTTTCCTACAACAATGCACCCTCCACCAGAGCTTATGATTCACCCCTTTTCCTGAATTACGGGATAGATCCGACAGTACCCATCTCCACCAAAGTCGAAAGCCAAGTCCCCCGCTCGCAGCAGTTCGTCGAAGGCCTTCAAACGACCCACACAAAAGCCATCGAATTTATCAGAAAAGCCAATGTCACTGCCCCCCAATACGCTGACCGCCACAGACCTTCACTGTAGGGAAACTATACCTTCCACCTTCGTACTATATCGCGAACGGTTCAGGATTCGGGCTCTGAGGGCGTGTACATGCGTTCATATTCAGATGTCCAGGCCATCCAGTTACCCGATTGTAAGGATCCTGATTGTGTTTTTTGGGGATAAACACTACCGGGTTCGCCTGACGGGGATAAGCAGCGAATGCGCAACAGTACGTGTGAAAAAAAATGAAAAAAAAAAAAAAAAAAAAAAAAAACCAAGAGGCGACGAGATCGTCTTAGGGTTGCGGAGCATTTCATGATGAGACTTTATTATACATAAAATGTTTTATTTCCATCGCAACAAACATTTGATTTTTATTTCACAAACTTGAAAAAAAAACCAGCCCGACCGATTGCAATAGGTTTCTCCGCAACCAAAAAAAAAAAAAAAACAAAAAAAACAAGAGGCGACAAGATCGTCTTAGGGTTGCAGAGCATTTCATGATGAGACTTTATTATACATAAAATGTTTTATTTCCATATCACAACAAACATTTGATTTTTATTTCACAAACTGAAAAAAAAAAAAAAAAAAAAAACCAGCCCGATCGATTGCAATAGGTTGCTCCGCAACCCAAAAAAACGTGAAAGATCTCAGCTGACGCTGCTTTTTTCCTCGTAAATCAAGTCGTTCGCTTTTGTTACCATTCGTACAAAGGAACATTTATCGTGTGGCAAAAAATGCGACTACAGGTCATATGCCCTTAGAGCCCGGGGGGCGACGCGAGAGATTTCGCTTACAACGAATATGGGTCGTACGGTAGGGGCAACGTGGACTATCGGGTTTTCCCAGGAAATGGGGAGTTGTTTTTTGTGTACTGTACATGGGCGGCTTCTCTGGCATATGCAGCGATTGAGTAAACGTCGCAGCGTCGCAAGCCTTTGCGCGAGTGTATCAACTATGCGTTACAACAGAATGTTCAAACTCAAGCGTCATGTCACAATCATGCTGTGTTATTTTGCAACAAACAGATTTGCCTCGACAAAGACAAGACTCGACAAAAGTCCATCCCGCAAAATAAGACTCAGGGTGAAAACCATACTTACGAAGACGAAAACTACACACTTCACTGCAACACAGCACACGCGTCTCGCGCCAAACGTCATACGGAGAGCTCATTGTCTCTCGGTCCTCGACTCGCACGCCCCAAACCCGAAGTCTAAATTTAACCGCCTATTAATGCACAGAAATTAAGCGCCTACTATCCGCGATAGGTAGCGTCAGGGTATCCGGTCATGACGGCTGTGGCTCCACGGACATGACTGAGGTACCCTTCCTCCGCCGCGCCGGGCGCAGCGTTCGTGTCCAGGCGGGGGATGCGCGCTCCAGGCGATCAATAACCGAAGGTTCGCGGATGTCAAACAACACGCGTAGATCGCGGGGCGCCAATCCAATTGACTTTGCGTAGCCAATCAGCATCTCTGTCGCCATGCGCGACAGATTGCGACGGTTCCGCTCTGAGTCTTGTGCAGCCGGAGAGGGAGGCGCATTCGCCCACCAAGCGTCCCGCTTGGCCATGCCAAGCGGCTCGACCTGAAGCGGATCCACCCCGGTCGGCTCGCTCGTTACGTCGTTACGCTCGGCGGTGACGAAGCGAGCGGCTGAAAGCATGTCGCTCGGCCCGAACGGCAGGGCGCTCATGAGCTGCTGCACCGGCTCGATGTCGTCCTCTAGCCGGGGCTCCTGCTCTTCAGATGTGGCACCGAGGAGAGGTAGCAGCGGCTGCCAGCTGGCTGGCAGCATTCGCGTCCTCCAGAAACACTTCTGGATGGTCGCGGTTTCCAGCCCAAGGCACGCTTCCGACACCCAGGTAACCACCTGCCACATTTCCGGCTTCCACTTCTGAACGGCGGCGACGGTCACGCCAGGTATCTGCCACTGTGCGAGAACAGCTCGAAGCAACTCGACTTTGTAACGTGCCTTCAGAGCTGCGATGAGGCCCTGATCCAGAGGCTGCGTGAACGGTGTCGTGTTCGGCGGCAAGTAAACGAGGCGCACGTGCGATAGCGCCCGTGTCCGGAAGCCGCATATGTCAGCTGACGTGGCGAGTGGGGTCTGGAGCAGGTGACTCGAAGCGTTATCTAGCATGACGACGATGCGTCTTCCTTCCGCCAGGCAGCACGCGTTGATATGTTCGAAAAAAGCCGTAAAGACCTGCGAGGGGCATATGGGATGAAATTCATGAAAGTTATATACTTTTACGTTCGCTCCACTCATCTCGCATCGGACAGAACACGGCACATTACAAGGTAGACATTCAGGACGACGCACACACCTCTGCAGTCATCCATCCCGAGGTGTTCGCGCGCCAGTAGCAGTACTTCGAAGGGTCAAACTTTTGCTTTGCGAAACAACGGGGCCGTTCAAATTTGTGAATGATGAGCGGCTTGAACAGTTTCGAGCCGTCCGCGTTTACCAGCAGCGCGACTGTAAGTCGATCCTTGCAAACCTTCTTCCCCGGGGTAGGATCGATGCAGAAAGTGTGGTCGGGTAGGAGACTGTAGTAGACGCAGGTCTCGTCGAAGTTAAAGAGGTTCTCTGGGGTGAGGCCAAGCTGGCCGCACAGCCTCGGAAAATGCAGTTGCGCGGTCAGCGCGGCGCCCTCGTCGGCAGACCTCGCCTCGCCGCTCATCTTACGCCACTTGAATCCCATTCGGCGCAATGCTTTCTGAACCCATCCAACAGAAGCTTTGAAGTCGCTAGGGACGTTGCACTCGGGTGCTAGCAGAATAGCGCGCTGCTGGATTAGAGCGGTCGACACTGGCAAGCCAGCACCGTTTGTGCTTTTCAGCCAGCTCTTAAGTCGACCTTCGAGTAAAGGCCAGTGTGGGCTTCGCAATCTTTTGAACTTGGCGCGTTCGGGCCCGATGGCCCGCCACTTCACTTCTTTTTGGAGAACTCGGCCGACTGTGCTGCGATCGGGCCACAGGCCGTATCTGGTGTGGCACCATCGCCCAATGTCTTCGAGACGTAAAGTCGGGTTCTTCTTCGCGTACTGGCAGATGGCAAGCTTCTGCCCGACGGACAGCGCAGTTCGGCGTACAGGTGCCATGCGGACGACGTCGTGGGTCTGACGGGCTCGTTCTTTGTGTCGTGAAGAGGTCGAAGATTGGGCCATACAAATAACACCGTCGTGTCTGCATTGTTGGCGGGGGGAACGATGTTGTGACCCCTCTGTTGCTTACTTGGCGATTTCCTGTTGGCAGACGGATGACGGAATTGCCCAGGGCTACGCAGACGGATTCTGTTCGCGTTGCTGGCGTTGTTCTAGTGGACCGTCACCGAGGTGGTCGTATCAATAGCATCATTTGGATTTTGGTCTCGACATTGGTTGGCGAGCCTGACACGTCTGGATGTTTAAAGGCTCGCCAACCAGTAGGAGAGGTCGCCCTGGAACCACAGAAACAAACTGATTGGACTGCCAAATATCAGCCGAATTGACTATCGAACTCACTGTTCAGTTGAGACGGGTACACTTTGCTTACAAGGAGAGGCCCTTAAGGATAAAATGCCTATGAGATACTCCCGGGCGTAAAAGGAAGTCGCCTACAAGGCATATGACCTGTACTTGAGGATGGCCAAGTCTCTTATTGGACACGCTACGGGTTTTGTTCGATTTTCGGTAGTCATCTGAACAGTACCGCTGGATGTCAAGCCCGTGTCATTTCCCCGAAATGAACGCTTATGACACGCCCTGATAGTCCCAATCATTGGTGTTTTCAAGGTCCCCCGATCCAGCACACGTCGGAAGACTCTAGAAATTGGATTTCGGGCATGTCTTCTCTCGCTGTTGACTGCCCTTTTTGACTGCTAACACGCGCCACGCGTGCGCCCTAACGCGATTGCTAACTCGATTGATGAGGTTATTGAAGAGTCCGTTAGTATCGCTTCATTCCCTTGCTCCTGGCGTTGGTTAGGCTCGTCGTATCAGCCTTTCAACCAAGTCTTGTCCAGCTTGTCGCTTAAATTCGCCGCGATTCTAGGACCAGCTTAGCGACCTCACCGACAATCAGTACTTCATAATCTGTCATTTCTTAAGACCGGATAAACCGCGACTTTCAGCATCACTTCACCGAGTTAATCAGCCGCATTAGAATCGGCATCGCGGCTGAGCACCAGCGTAGCAGGACGCCATGATTCCCCCGGCGGCGATGGATCCGGAGATGGTTCGCCTGGCGCAGGAGCAGATGAGCCGCATGTCGCCTCAAGACATCCAGCGCATGCAGCAGGTGAAATGCTGTTTTTCCTATCATCCCCGTTGTTAGATACTCGTGTAAGTTGAAAAGGAGATGGTTCGCCTGGCGCAGGAGCAGATGAGCCGCATGTCACCTCAAGACATCCAGCGCATGCAGCAGGTGCGAGGATTTATCCTCGTTATAAGGTCCTGAACGATATTAGTTGACGAGCGGATGAGCCGCATGTCGCCTCAAGACATCCAGCGCATGCAGCAGGTGAGAGGCTGTATCCTCGTTATGAAGTCCTGAACGATGTTAGCTGACGAGCGGATGGGCCGGATGTCGCCTCAAGACCGCATGTCGCCTTGAGACATCCAGCGCATGCAGCAGGTGATAGGCTGTTTTTTCAATCATCCCCGTTAATAGATGCCCGTAGAAGGTTACAAAGAGAGGCAGAATTGTGGCCAGGAGCAGATGAGCCGCGTGTCGACTCAGGACATTCAGCGCATGCAGCAGGTGGAGGGATCTCTTTGTTCTAATCCTAGAGAATGAATTTGTGATCTCAGACGAGAGATGTCTTTGTGATCAGGTGAGTTTGCATGAATTGGGATGAGCAAGGGGCGATCCCGCATTGCCATACGATGGATTGTGCACTTCTGGAGAATCTCTGCACAATTTGTGGGCCCTCCTTTCCCTCATTCAATCCGATGATGACACGTGGCTCTGATGGAAGGTGTGCTTTGCTCCCGCCCCCATCAGATGATGACGCCTGACATGATTCGCATGGCGACGGAGCAGATGGGTAGCATGTCGCCAGACGACATGAGGCGAGCAGCCGAGCAAATGAAACACTCATTCCCTCCTAAACTCAACCGTACTCCCTTTTCCTCCTCTCTGCACGCACGCTCGCTGCTTACTTGCGATCATTCGTCCCATCAGATGATGGCGCCTGACATGATTCGCATGGCGACGGTGCAGATGGCACGAGCCGGCCAAGTTTTTTAAGACATCTCAAGAGCCGATGACCCACTTCACCGCAACTCGACACCCCCCCCTCCCAACCCCCCGTCCCCTCTCCCCGCCCCACCCACCCCATCAGATGATGACGCCTGACATGATTCGCATGGCGACGGAGCAGATGCCAGGACTCGAGCAGCCGAACTTTCATTTCCAAACCCAACCCGTTCCTTTCCTCTCGCTTGTTCTCACCCACCCATCAGATGATGACGCCTGACATGATTCGCATGGCGACAGAGCAGATGGCACAAGCGGCCAAGTTTTAGAGACGTGTCAAGAGCAGATGAACCACTTCACCGCAACTCTACCCCCCCCCTCCCCTCTCCCCGCGTCACCCGCCCCATCAGATGATGACGCCTGACATGATTCGCATGGCGACGGAGCAGATGGGTCGCATGTCGCCAGACGACATGAGGCGAGCAGCCGAGCAGATGAAACACCTCTCCCCCTCGCAGATCGCCAGCGCCATGTCTGGGGCTGGCGCTGGGGCAGGAGGGGTTGGGAGCGGTGCTGGGGGGTTCCCAGGAGCAGGAGCAGGAGGAGGAGCAGCAGCAGGGGGGTTGCCAGACGTGGCTGCATATATGAGCCAGAGGCAGCAGTACGAGCTGAACGCAGCGACGATGCTCAAGAACGAGGTTGGTGCTGTCTCGTCCTTTAAAATACCCTCCTCTCTGCTCCACTCTGCGACTTTTGAGTGACTTTTGAGTCGACTCAAAACTCTGCTCCACTCTGCTCTACAAGCTGAATGCTGCAACCGTGCTGAAGAACGAGGTTGGTTTTGTTTTTAGTGGTTCTCTTCTCGGTGTCTTGTGCTTCTTCTTCTCCTTCTTCTCCTTCTTCTCATTCTTCTCCTCTTCTTCTCCTCTTCTTCTCCTCTTCTTCTCCTCTTCTTCTCCTCTTCTTCTCCTTCTTCTCATTCTTCCTCGTCTGACGTCCTTGTGCTCAATTTCCTCTCTGTCCCTCTCTCGAATTCCTTCCGCCTGATTCCGCCCCTTCTCCATCCGCCACATGTGTTGTGCGTGCAGGGAAACAAACTGCATGGGCTAGGGAAGTACTCAGAAGCAGCAGAGAAGTACAACAGGGTATGTGTGGCACCGGGGGTGGGGAGGGGACTGGGGGAAGGTGGGAAGGTGTGGACGAAGGGGAGGGGAAGGGACGGTGAAGGAATGGGAGGGAAGAGGGAAGCGAAAGGAGGAAGGATGGAAGGGGGAGGGAGGGGGCGGGTGTGGTGAAAGG